GTATTTGTCATGTTTGTCTTCTGTCCTTCCATCAGTCTGTCCTTTTGTGTTTTGTTCAGATTCAAACCAAGTATCTGAAACTAAATTCATTCTCTAATGCATACTGATGAGAGCTTTACAATGGTGGCAGTTTTTTTACCTTGACTTTCCCAGTGACCTTGACTTTACTATTCCCTATTTTGTGTTTATCTCAGGTTAAAGGTCCCTGATCAAAATATTTTTATACATACCACTATTGGTGGGAACTATTAAACTGAGTCATAGTTCTCTTACCATCACCTTGACCCTCAGTGTGATCTTAATATCTTTTTTTTGCACTTTGCACAATTTAGCAGACCTTACCCTTTCTATAACTTTCATCCAATTATTTGACGATTTGCATTTACCTTATTTTAAAAGAAACCATTCAAGATATCAAACTTCATACAAAGTTTGGTACAATAATACATACCCGGGTATATAATATTTTGGGTAGGGCAACTACCAGGTATAATTTTTAATTCCTATAAAAAATACATGATGTCATATGATTTATCAGCCATATAATGCTTGTATTTTCAACAGAGGAATCTGCTACTTTTTCCTGGAAGTGGAATGTTCCACCAAGGACCTTCACTCTGGTGTATTTGGGGGCACAGTGTGAGTCAAATTTAATATTGTCCTAAGAAGCAAATCATATCATTGATACATTGTATTTCTTTTAAAGAAAAAAGAATTAAATGTTGGTAATTTTAACTTTTCACTTTGATGTATCCCCAGCCGTCAAAGTTTAGAACTCCATGTATTTTATCGTTTGACGTGTCCAGACAAAGAAAAAAGAGGTGAACAGCTAGCAGGAGGAATAAGTCCATTTGTTCATCTCCCCATTCATTTACGTGGATTGACATGTATTAGCTTCGTGTAAATGTATTACACCTAATCTGTTTATCTAATTATGTTTAATCTGCAGACATGAGGGGATGGCTGACCTTATTGCACTCCTGAACACCCTGGTGGACAGTAAAGGGAAGATCCTGATTCCAGGGGTATATGACTCTGTTGCCAAACTGACAGAGGAGGAAAAAAAGCTGTATGAACCCATTGATTTCGAGCCTGTAAGTGGAAAACTTAAAAGTACTGTTTTTGTCATTTTAATTAACTAATTAAATGATTAACTTTTATTAATTTTTTTATATGTATTTGAATAGAAGTTCAGAAAGTTAAGGAAATTCAGTTGACTAAAAAAGTTGGGGTAGATTGAACAAGCTAATTCAGAGAATTTGTGTCCCCCGCTTAGGGAAAAGTAAACCATGCTCGCAGTTCAGGGGCGGGGGGAGTCGGATTCCCCTGACTGAATTTGTAGAATTATTTAAATGTTTACATGTACAGTAAAACTCGGTTATAACAAAGTCATTGGGACCTGTGAAATTACTTTGCTATAACCGTAATTCGTTATATCCGTATAAGAAATTGATTAAAATTATTTAGTTGGGGATCCAAAATGACTTCACTATATCCATGAATTAGTAATATCCGTGTTCATACTAAACAAGTTTTACTGTATATTAAAGCAAGTAAAATACAGTATGTCATTATGAATACAAAGATTTGATTGCTTATTCTTTATTATGTATAGAAGATTCTTTTTATATGGAATATTTATCACATTGTAATGATGATTTTATGAGTTTGTACAAGCCAGACATCTTAACTTTTTCATTTCACATGCTGAATACTATCATTTAGTAAAAAAAAAAGTAATTCGAAAAAAAAAAAGAAAATGGATCAACCCCGATTCGATCCCGGGACCTTTCACATGTGAAGCGAGAGACATACCAGTAGACCACGGAACTGCTTTACTCTGGTGAAAATTATATGCAAACATGAAGTCACATAGATGTATATATTCATGTTCATCAAAATTTTACACAATGCATGGTGTTCTAATTTAGCCTTTATTAAACAGTTCTAATAGATGTAATAAGAATATAAAGTCCACCGAAAAACTGTATTATACGTAATAACTCTCCTCATGTCCCTGTGCTAAAAATAGTGACAAAGAATACAATAAATACTTATAAAACAAATGGGGCGGGACACTTTGAGAGGGGTGAGAGGGATCCTAGGGAGTTTTGTTTTAAAATTACATTGCAAAGGCTCAAAATCTTCTTGAAATATCGCCTGGAAACGATAGTATTACACACAGATTGTATAAATTTATGACCTTTAACTTTGACCTTTTGACCTCAAAATCAATAGGGGTCTTCCTTAGGCCACAGGGAGTTGTTATATAAAATTTCATTGGGAAAGCTCAAAGGGTTCTCGAGATATCGTGTGGAAACAAAAGCGTTACAGACAGACAGAAAGTTGGATGGACAGACCCAAATTAATATCCCCCACTTTTTAAGCGGGGGACAAAAATATCAAAAATAGACAGATGTACTTTTGAGTATATTTTTATCAATTGATCACATGTTCTATGAGCTTCATGGGGAAACTATGTGAAAAATCATTTCATTTGTAGAAAAAGTTAAAAATAAATTCATTACATTGTTGAGGAGTAAACGATAATCATGTTACATTTGCAGGAGTAAAAAATTGCATTTATAGGAATTAAAGAAAAGTTTTAGCATTTGTAGGTAGAGTAAAAGGTAACATTTATACAAATTTCAAGAACATATTCCATTTGCAGAAGGAGTATAAAATGGCATATTACATTGTCATGATTGTAGGAGAATATAATATAATTACATTTGAAGGAGTAGTATAATATAATTCAATTACAATTACATTACTACGTACAATGCATCGTGACGTCATGTTATTTGGCTTTTATCATAGAGAATGCATGCATTGTGACGTCAGGTTTTATTTACACCCGGCTCAAGTCGGGTGCACGGATATTTACACCCGACTTTGTAACCAATCAAAGGTCGTGTTACAAGCTAGATAAGAAATAAGATAATACATAACAGTTGTAGGAGGAATATAAGAAAGTTACATTTGTAGGAGGAGTATAAGATAATTACATTTGTAGGAGAAGTATAAGATAATTACATTTGTAGGAGGAGTATAAGATAATTACATTTGTAGGATGAGTATAAGATAATTACATTAGTAGGAGGAGTATAAGATAATTACATTTGTAGGAGGAGTATAAGATAATTACATTTGTAGGAGGAGTATAAGATAATTACATTACATTTGTAGGAGGTGTGTAAGATAATTACATTACATTTGTAGGAGGTGTGTAAGATAATTACATTACATTTGTAGGAGGAGTATAAGATAATTACATTACATTTGTAGTAGGAGTATAAGATAATTACATTACATTTGTAGTAGGAGTATAAGACAATTACATTACATTTGTAGGAAGAGTAAAAGATAATTACATTACATTTGTAGGAGAAGTATAAGATTATTACATTACATTTGTAGGAGGAGTATTAGATGGTTACATTACATTTGTAGGAAGAGTAAAAGATAATTACATTACATTTGTAGGAGGAGTATAAGAAGGATGTAGGAGTGACAAGTTTGATCCACAGTGAAAAGGAGGACATTTTGATGCATCGTTGGAGATACCCCTCACTCTCCATACATGGTAGGAATTTAGTTGCAGTTATATCCCCTCCCCTCCATCCCAATGCACTCTTTCTCCCATTCCTTGATTCCCATATGAAATTCTCTCCCAATCACCTTCATATGAAAGGAAATTTTTTATAAGAATTGCTTGTTATAAGATTATGTAAAAAAAATTCACTAAAAGTAAAGAAATCTTATTTGCATTCACATATTATACTTTGTACAATTTATCTTGATGTCTTTGTGTTAATATAGTCTTTATTGCGAGTCTTACCAGAGAAAATCTGATTAAATTTCATTCAGGAATTGAGGGAGCATTCAGTGAACCAGGAGCAAAGACTGTGATTCCTAAGAAAGTGATTGGAAAATTCTCCATTCGTCTTGTACCCGATCAACATCCAGATGAAATAGAAAAACTCGTCAACACTCACATTCAGAAGAAATTCAGTGAGAGAAATAGTCCAAACAAAATCAAGTAAGAATGTCAAAAGACGTTGATAAGAATGTTAAAAGACATTGCTATTAAAATCAGTGTTATTTGTCTTGAACAACAGGAATACTGATTACAGATTCTTGATATTTAAAATTGTTATGCATCAGCAATTATTTTTTGTCAAATGAGTCATCAAAAATAGAATTGTAAGTAAGTAAGGAAATCTTATTTATAGTCTGGCTACCGGTATTTGCAGGTAAGAAACATGAGCTACAATGTACGAGTATGAAGCTCTTTAGTAGCATTGCCTTCATGAGATTGTATTATGATACCAAAATTAATATGAAAATATCTTTTTCGTTCAGGATTTCAATGGGCCATGGAGGAAAGCCATGGGTCAGTGATTTCAATGATCCTAACTACATTGCTGGCAGGAAAGCAATGAAAACAGGTACTTTATTTTTATAACAGGGTAAGTATAGATTTCTTCCTCATGGAGAGAAATAACCATTGTGTTTGAGTTTTAACATTTAGTGTTTATATTGAATAAATATGGACTTAACATATAACATGTATTTTTGGTATCTGAGATTCAAGAGATTTTTACACAGAGTTTTTACATAATATAACTACATACATGTAATGATGCAATATTCATTACAGTGTTTGGAGTTGAACCTGATTTGACCAGGGAAGGAGGAAGTATACCGGTGACCTTGACCTTTCAGGAGGCCACAGGAAAGAATGTGATGCTTCTACCAATAGGGGCATGTGATGATGGCGCCCACTCCCAGAATGAGAAAATAGACAGGTCAAACTATATCAAGGGGGTAGGTTTATACTCGCAGAAAATAGATAAATCAAACTACATCAAGGGGGTAGGTTTACATTCACAGAATGGGAAAATATATCAATCTACATCAATAGGGTAGGTTTACACTCATAGAATGAGAAAATAGACAGATCAAACTACATCAAGGGGGTATAGGTTTACGCTCACAGAAAATAGATAGATCAAAGTACATGAAGGGGGGTAGGTTTACACTCACAGAATGAGAAAATAGATCAAACTACATCAAGAGGGAAGGTTTACACTCATAGAGAGAGAAAATGGATCAAACTACATCGAGAGGGTAGGTTAACACTCACAGAATGAGATTATAGATCAAACTACATCAAGAGGGTAGGTTTACACTCACAGAATGGGAAAATAGTTCAAACTACATCAAAGGGATAGGTTTACACTCACAGAATGAGAAAATAAATCAAAATACATCAAGGGGGTAGGTTTACTTTCACAGAATGTTTCAAAATAGAGCAAACATCATGAAGGGGGTAGGTTTACACTCCCACAATGGGAAAATAGACATCAAACTACATCAAGGTTTACACTCACAGAATGAGAAAATAGATCAAACTGCATCAAGGGGGTAGGTTTACACTCATAGAGTGAGAAAATAGACATCAAACTACATCAAGGGGGTAGGTTTACACTCACAGAATGGGAAAATCAAGCTACATCAAGGGGGTAGGTTTACACTCACAGAAAATAGATAAATCAAACTACATCAAGGGGGTAGGTTTACACTCACAGAATGGGAAAATAGATCAAACCACATCAAGGGGGTAGGTTTACACTCACAGAATGAGAAAATAGATCAAACTACATCAAGGGGGTAGGTTTACACTCACAGAATGAGAAAATAGATCAAACTGCATCAAGGGGGTAGGTTTACACTCATAGAATGAGAAAATAGATCAAACTACATCAAGGGGGTAGATGTACACTCACAGAATGAGAAAATAGATCAAACTACATCAAGGGGGTAGGTTTACACTCATAGAGTGAGAAAATAGATCAAACTACATCAAGGGGGTAGATTTACACTCACAGAATGAGAAAATAGATCAAACTACATCAAGGGGGTAGGTTTACACTCACAGAATGAGAAAATAGATCAAACTACATCAAGGGGGTAGATTTACACTCACAGAATGAGAAAATAGATCAAACTAAATCAAGGGGGTAGGTTTACACTCACAGAATGAGAAAATAGATCAAACTACATCAAGGGGGTAGGTTTACACTCACAGAATGAGAACATAGATCAAACTACATCACGGGGGTAGATTTACACTCACAGAATGAGAAAATAGATCAAACTACATCAAGGGGGTAGGTTTACACTCACAGAATGAGAAAATAGATCAAACTACATCAAAGGGGTAGATTTACACTCACAGAATGAGAAAATAGATCAAACTACATCAAGGGGGTAGGTTTACACTCATAGAGTGAGAAAATAGACATCAAACTACATCAAGGGGGTAGGTTTACACTCACAGAATGAGAAAATAGATCAAAATACATCAAGGGGGTAGGTTTACACTCACAGAATGAGAAAATAGATCAAACTACATCAAGGGGGTAGGAAAACACTCACAGAATGGGAAAATAGTTCAAACTACATCAAAGGACATCAAACTACATCAAGGGGATAGGTTTACACTCACAGAATGAGAAAATAGATCAAACTACATCAAGGGGGTAGGTTTACTTTCACAGAATGTTTCAAAATAGAGCAAACATCACAGTTTACACTCCCACAATGGGAAAATAGACATCAAACTACATCAAGGTTTACACTCACAGAATGAGAAAATAGACATAGTTGCCAACTCTCCCGATTTCATCAGGTTACACACGATTTTTCAACCTGTAACCAGATTATTTTTTATGACCCAGGGGGTCATGCTTTTCACCTGATTTTTGTTGAACAACCCGAAAATCTCCTGCTTTCCAGATTTGGTTCTTAAATTAGGTTGCACTTTTAACTTCCAGTTACAACCCAAAATAGTTCAAACTACATCAAGGGGGTAGGTTTATACTCACAGAATGAGAAAATAGATCAAACTACATCAAGGGGGTAGGTTTACACTCACAGCATCAAGGGGGTAGGTTTACACTCACAGAATGAGAAAATAGATCAAATTGCATCAAGGGGGTAGGTTTACACTCATAGAGTGAGAAAATAGACATCAAACTACATCAAGGGGGTAGGTTTACACTCACAGAATGAGAAAGTAGATCAAACTACATCAAGGGGTAGGTTAACACTCACAGAATGGGAAAATAGATCAAACTGCATCAAAGGGGTAGGTTTACACTCATAGAGTGAGAAAATAGACATCAAACTACATCAAGGGGGTAGGTTTACACTCACAGACTGGGAAAATAGATCAAACTACATCAATGGGGGAGGTTTACGCTCACAGAATGGGAAAATAGATCAAATTACATCAAAGGGTAGGTTTACACTCATAGAGTGAGAAAATAGACATCAAACTACATCAAGGTGGTAGGTTTACACTCACAGACTGGGAAAATAGATCAAAGTATATCAAGGGGGTAGGTTTACACTCACAGACAATTGATAGATCAAACTACATCAAGGCGGTGGGTTTATGCTCACAGAATGAGAAAATATATCAAACTACATCAAGGGGGTAGGTTTACACTCACAGAATGGGAAAATAGATCAAACTACACCACGGGGTAGGTTTACTCTCACAAAATGAGAAAAAACAGCAAACTACATCAAGGGGGTAGGTTTATACTCACAGAATGAGAAAATAGACATATCAAACTACATCAAGGGGGTAGGTTTACACTCACAGAATGAGAAAATAGACATCAATCTACATAGGGCTGGGACGATAAATCAAGATATCCGCAGCTAGGATAAGGCTGTCCGTAATATCAAACTGTTCAAACTGAAGTTGCTTCTCTGAACTACCTAGATATGACGTCATAATAGAATATGACGTCAAGTCACTGCATACTTGAGCTTACATGACGGGGAAAGTGTCATAATTTTAACACATGGCATGTAGATTTTTTGGGGGCATTGTTGTTTAATTCAAGTGCTAGGATTGTTTTTATGCTCCATGAGCTGTTATGTTGTTGAACATTTATATTATAGATATCCCTTTTCCTTTCGTTTGTCCAATATGCACCTGTTCAAACAATAGCGAAAAATAATGTATGAAATGCTCCCCTTACACGTCCGTAGAGTTAGAATTTATGAATTGTGGTTATATTTGATTGGCACAAGTGAAAGACAAGGATAAATTGAAGATATTCTGCATGAATCTAAAAGAGAAGTATGTCTTCTGACTGAATTTTGCTGGGGGGATCGTATGTACTTAATCCATTTTTGTATAAATCGCGATAAAGAGTGGAAAAAAGCCCTTCTTATGTTGGTAAATTGATTTTCTCTAGAAATATTTTCTTCAGAAGTAAAAATTAAATGTGCCCCAGCACTTTTATGTACCAGAGATCACGATGAATTGATCTATGTAACAATCTTTGCACAATAATTTTGTTTTTCACTTGTGCCGAAGCGATTTTTATGCAACATTTTAGAATATCATAAATGTCCGTCACGTGATCAACACAGTCATGTGACATCACAGAAATGCTTTATTATAATACCTGATTGAACTCTTATCTCAAGTTGACTGCAATTTCAAACAAGGATCACTTATTGAAATTAAAATCTAGCTCAAAATAAAATGTATATTTGTAAGGCATTTTAAGCCTTCAGACAGCCTTATTATAACTGCGTCGATATATCGTGATATATGTGAGGACGATACACATATCGATACATTTGAAAAAATATCGAAATATCGCCCAAAAAAATCTAACTTCTGTTTTTCTTTGTATTTTTAACATTTGGGGTTTAATATATAAAAAAATAAGTTAAATATAAATATAGATATGAAATAAATAATAATTATCACCAATTAAGTAAAATCTTTTTGTTTTACAAAATTTTAACAACTATTTTGAATGAATTATTCTCATTTGCAAAAAAAGAATTTGTTTATTTCAATGCAAAAAAAAGATTTTGTAAGCAATAAAATATATCGTGATACATATCGTATCGTGGCTTGAATATCGTGATACGTATTGATATAGAAAAAGTTGTATCGTCCCTGCCCTAAACCTACATCAAGGGGGTAGGTTTACACTCACAGAATGAGAAAATAGATCAAACTACATCAAGGGGGTAGGTTAACACTCACAGAATGAGAAAATAGATCAAACTACATCAAGGGGGTAGGTTTTCACTCACAGAATAAGAAATAAATCCAACTACATCAAGGGGGTAGGTTAACACTCACAGAATGAGAAAATAGATCAATCTACATCAAGGGGGTAGGTTTACACTCACAGAATGAGAAAATAGATCAAACTACATCAAGGGGGTATGTTTACACTCATAGAGTGAGAAAATAGATCAAACTACATCAAGGGGGTAGGTTTACACTCACAGAATGAGAAAATAGATCAAACTACATCAAGGGGGTAGGTTTACACTCACAGAATGAGAAAATAGATCAAACTACATCAAGGGGGTAGGTTTTAGACTCACAGAATGAGAAAATAGATCAAACTACATCAAGGGGGTAGGTTTAGGTTTACACTCACAGAATAGGTTTACACTCACAGAAAATAGATCAAACTCACAGCATCAAGGGGGTAGGTTTACACTCACAGAATGAGAAAATAGATCAAACTGCATCAAGGGGGTAGGTTTATGCTCACAGAATGAGAAAATAGATCAAACTACATCAAGGGGGTAGGTTTATGCTCATAGAATGAGAAAATAGATCAAACTACATCAAGTGGGTAGGTTTACACTCACAGAATGAGAAAGTAGATCAAACTACATCAAGGGGTAGGTTTACACTCACAGAATGAGAAAATAGATCAAACTACATCAAGGGGGTAGGTTTACACACACAATGAGAAAATCATCAA